AGGCACACCTTCTCTATGAAATGAATTGTTTCACACGATTAAAATAGTTATTAGGAAATTATAGAAATGAAAGAAAAATGAAGAATGTATAAAAGACCCTCTCCTCAACTAGAAACATGGAGGATCACTGAAAAATCAGGATAAAGGGCTAAATAACATGAAGCAATCAATTGTACATTGGGATATCCTCATAAATCTTTCCAATGAGGAATTAGAAGGAATTGAACATCAAGATATTTTGAAGCTGAATGCAAAGCATAGTGACTCTTATAACTCATTCTATATTTGTATTTGCACTCAAGTCCCATTGAGAGCCCTAATCTAGAGGAGATTAGCTGATACTTACCAATGGTATCAGTTATTTTGGAGGTTGAGGAATATCTTGAGGAATTGAACCTTGAGATATTTTGGATAAAACTATTATAATTGTGTCAAATACCATATCTTCCCTTGTAGATCAAAATAATAAAGGAAAATTAGAAAAAGACTAATCCACTCCCACCTCTTTGTACTATGATGCCATTGAGAATTCAACATAAATTCAATATATGAAAACACAATGAAATCTATGGGTTTGTAGTACAATTAACTACATATGTAATACATTTCAACCTCTATTGCCTACTTGTACATTAGATTTCAAAGAAATCTAAAAAAATTAATTGGACTGAAATCAACCACACTTGTTTGTTATCTATCTGTAATTGTAGTTTTTAGAACAAGTTATCTAAGATGTTGTGATGCAAAATTAATGTGCTCCAGTAATTTTCATAGTGTAATAAATGAAATTAATATAAAAGTGCAAGTAGGTTTTAAACTATCCATGGTTGATGTTTAATTTCATAAATTTCAAGAAGACAAGAATCTATTGCATTATGTAGTGCTGAAAGTGAAAATGTAACTAAATAAGGTGTTAGTGCAAGTAATATTTCTTTATTCTATGTTGATACCATAGCAATTAACCATGTAAATAAGCTTGTTGTCCACCTTGGATTAAACACACTAAACTCATACATCATTTATTATGAGATTCTATGGAAAAATAAGAACAATATCTTTAGCCAAGGAGAGACAGAACAATCAATCCCATTGTGGATTTCAAAGACCCACATTTCATGTTTAAATGTTTAATCTCATGTGTTATGATTATAACCCAGCATCTGATTTAGGGGGAGATTACATGTTCATAACTAAATACACTATTAACTCTCTAATGTAGAACGAAAGGAGTGATATATTTAAATGAGATTGATCTTGTAGATCTAGCCATAGTTGAAAATCTTACTTTCTCATCCACACATCATATGAACATCCATATCACCGCTGAACATTTGCAATGGATGTTCTAATGTTGATCTTAAATTGCTTATTAAATTAATTAAATCTTTTTATAATGAAAAAATTTCAGAATCATTATAACTATGCCGGCACCTCCTTGCCCTTATGTACAAGTGCATGTATATGTCTGCCTACTCTAGCACCGGTGGTGTGCCCATCCTTCTATGTGCTCATTTCAGATAGTGTATGACATGCAGTCATATACACAGATAATAGAGTTCGGAATGCTCAATGCCCTCTCCTAAGGATAGGTGTACGTTTCTCACATTTCTTGGATAAAATTAGTCAACCAATGCATTAAAACTTTATGTTAGGTGTTGAAGTGTTTTATCCTTCTTCCAGTAGGCTGATATAATGCTACCTCTATCATGTTTTCCATCATTTTATAAACTTGTACATACTCCCAAGTTTTTGTATTCAATGTCTACACTACATGCTCAACCCAAAAATTTCTATAAGTTTTAACTTCATGTCATTTAAAAGTAGGCTTTTAGTGGTAGAAAGCTAGTACCAGAAGTGATTATCATTCCAAACGTAGAGCTATGAATTTAGAAGAAAGTGCAAGACATAGTTGGGCTTGACCTAAAGCGATGAGATCTAAAAGCATCATTGGGGAAATTCGCATCTGATTTTCTTAATGCCTATGCTCATAAAAGGCTTTCTTTCAGAAAATACAGGTAGAAAATACATGATAGACTTGTTTACTTTTCAGTCATTATATTTTATGAGCCTACAATTTAAAAAAGGTTCCATTATTATGAATGTTTAGTTCAGCATGCTCAAAAGTAAATATCTAATTAGTCTATTTATCTCATAAATCACTGTGTTCTACAAGCTTGCAATTTAACAATACTTTTATCAATTCTAAAGTTTGTTCAGCTTGTCCAAAGCTAACTTCTGATTGGTGTCTTCTTTTGTAAATTCTTTTTTTTTTAAGAATCCTATTAAATAAACTGAGTTGTTGCTAACATATTTTTTAGCATTTTGGTGAAGTAGCACAACATAAAAGATAATGGCATTTATAGTGTGTTGAGTGACTCAAACCTCAGAAATTTTTAATATTTTTATAAATAATTTTTAAAAATTCAAATAAGTTTCTATTATTCTAAATTTATATTTGACACATTGATAAGCTTATGCATGGTTATTTTGCAGTATATTAGATTCAAAGTGTCTTCTTTACTGAAAAACCATGTTTTATTTCAATACTGTGTTTATGAAATGAGACAGAAATTAGTATGGAAATCATTGTTAGGTTCAACACCAAGATCAAGAGGAACACCAGAAGAGTCAATCCTTGTCACACTATCATTAAAATAAGTAGGCAAATGAGCAGACCTAACTGCCTGTGTTAACTCTCAATATTTATATGGTTCAAGAAGAATATATTTCTTGTGCTGTTTACCCATAATGATAACCAGTAAAGACTGAAACGTAAGCCTTTTCATAGCTCTTTAAGGGCTCTCATACACGTTTTCCAAGGCAAGAAATGCTCAATTTAACAAGACCAAGTAATTGTTCCATATATTCAGACGTTCAATGTAGAAACTCACAATGCTTTGGTATAATCTTTGACATCCAACCTGAATTTCTTTCATGCTCATCCCAACGTTTTACATGTTGCCCAAATCTTAAAAAGCTATTCATTTATTTACATTATGTGATTTTTTGAGGTGCATTAAATATACTTGTCACACTAAGAAGACAGATGGAATAACTTATTGTGATGATAGTGCCGTCTTAACCAAAGAATTGAAGTCAAGCTTTTGATTTTCCACAATAGAATTGGGTTATCCAGTGTGCTTGTTTCATGTAGAACCCTTATCGAGTACTGAATTTAAGGCTGAGATAATTTACGAATTTCTCCTAGTAGTCCTGATTACAGTGTTAATCCCATCACATTATGAGAGGTAACCTTGCCAGGCGTTAGAAAAAATGTCTGGCGATTCGTACTATCAACAAAAGAATCTCTATTATGCCTGATCTGTGTTCTCATCAATGCATGACAGCGTACAAAATTTTAATTAAAAGGTAAAGACTAGAGAATATACTTGGGTATTGATTCAAAATGTGAATTCTAACTGTATAACGCATCTAGTCGTTTTTGCCACCCTATCATTTACTGTTACGGACTCTTTTATCTGAGGTACTGTATAGAATGGTCGGGCAATGAAACTGGCGTAGTATTCCTTCTCAATCGATATATGTATAAAAAACCAGAAATAATGCAACGTCATCACATTTCATATCTGCGGTTGAAATGGTGCGACATCTCCAACTCTACCTGCCCTCAATGACCGTCTCTGTTACTCCATTTCCAGAATAGTTTAGCACCTCATGTGATGCAGAGACAGTGTCTCGCTCGGCACTCCTGAATACAACGAAGCCTGGCCTTCTGGATTCAGGCAGGCGAAACGTTTCACTTGACGGCGTCATTGTCACGGTGGCAATTGAGTGTCTGTCCTCTGCCCGTTCTTGTACACAGTAGCGCGACTTGTATGCATCCAATACTTCAGACATTGGACAGACCAGTATGTGCATCATCAAGTCGATCTGCATAGTTCCTGTTCTTCCATAGTTCCCATGCCTGAACAAATGGGTGACATCACACTACTTTAAGAATTCGTCCCAAAAAATTAGAAGAATATTATGGGTGCGTCAACACAGTTGGTCAGCCTTCGATCTTGCTTCCCCAAGCCAAAATACCGGCTTCTCAGGTCATTTCAGCACAAAGTCATTGAAGAAAAGTGGTGCTGAAAAGGACTGTGAATGAATTTCCGACGAAACATTAGGGCTTGAACAAATAGGACCCCGTCCATCTGTCAAAAGGAAGAGAAAGATACCGATTTGGGGGCTGGGAAGGGGGGGAGAGAGAGAGAGAGAGAGAGAGAGAAAGAGTGACGAGCAAAGGGAAGAGAGGAGTCGCATGGGCAACTGTGGAACAGCCCCTTCGAACAGAATGGCCACGATTTCGCGCCCCCTGCCTCGGAAAAGAAACTGATCGGTTTTGCTGAGAATTTATCTACACTTCGATAATCCCAGACATGATTTGCGTACAACAACTAAATTAAAAAAGGTAACTAACTATTGCTCAACATTTAATAGAAGACTTTCCAGTGGCTCAGTCGTATACAGCCCTCGATTTAGACTCTGATTATTTCCAATACTAGAACCTCGAAGCTGAAGACATCCGACTTCATTGAGATGGCCCTGTCGATTGCATATTCTGTAGACAGCTGTCTACTATTTAATAGTGTTGGAGTTAATCTCGCTGCCATCATCATCACAATCCATGAAGGAGGAAGGCATTCAATGAGAGTTTTGTTTTATCTTACGTTTTTCCTTGTATCTCTTTCTTTTGAACGTTTCAATCTCAGCTGTTATAACTCCATAATGGATGGCTGAGATTGTGTTAGGATAATAGGCTTGCAATAACTGTCATAACAACGTTACTACATGAGGTGTTCGACTTGGTCCTATAAGAGAATCAGTTCAATCACTGATTGGCTATGCGAATTGATTTCTCCAATTTCTAATTTAATAGATTTGGGCGTTTTTATTTCTCCATTTTTCTTGAGTTCTTAAGTTGTTACGAAGAGTCATAAGGTTAGATTCTTCAGTTGGTATTAGAGCACTTGTGATCCAACATCATCTGGATGAGAATGACACCACATAAGGGAGACTTGTCGCAGGATCTCGCGATGATGAGAGGATTGAAAGGGGTGAAGCAACCTATGCAGATAGGTACCTTTCCAATCCTTGTGAGGCTTAACTATCAGGTGTGGCCATCTAGGATGCGTCTACACCTCAAAGGTCTTGAGCTCTAGGATGTCATTGAGGCGGAGACTCCAGTCAAGAAGAAAGATAGACAGGTGATGTCCATCCTCTTCAGCACTCTCTCAGATGAAATCTCATAGGAGTTGGATGTCGAGAAAACTACTAAGCACGTGGAATCTGCTGAAGGCAAAGAATGGAGGTGTTCCATGCCTACAAACAGCCTATATTCAATCACTACGGAAAGATTACGAGAATCTTTCTACGGAAGATGATGAGTCAGTTCTTGATTATTTCGGGAAACTTCTTGGATTGTGATTGAATTAAAGAGTCCTAGGGAGAAGATTTCGGATGCGGATCTCTCCACCAAACTCTTGAGGTCAGTCTCAAGTAAGTTTGACTCGATTACAATGTCTATTGAGTAGTTTCAGGATCTTGATGCAATCTTAGTGGAGGAGGTTCTTAGAACTCCCAAGATTCATGAAGACAAACTTCAAGATCGCTCAGTCAAGAGGGAAGAGAAAGTCTCATTGGCTCATGCTCTTGGCAAAAATAAGAAGAAAGATTCTTCCGATAGTTCTCAGGCAAGAGGCAGAGGAAGAGGCCATGGCAAAGGAAGAGCAAGAGGAATGATGAAGATAGAAGACTTTGATGATGATGAAAGACTGAGAGATAAGTCATTTTTCATTTGTTACAATTGCCAAAAGAAGGGCCACTATGCAAATGAATGTCAATTTTCAAAGAAGGAAAAACCGAAGGTAGATAAAGAGAAGGCAATTAAAGCTGAAGAAAATTCAAGTGATAATTCATTACTTATGGCATTTGAAGATTCAGATGTGCTACTTCAAGGTATCTCTCAATCTGAGCTGATGAATGACATGTGGTATTTGGACATGGGGGCAACATCTCACATGTCTAGTGAGAAGACTCTTTTCTTTGAGTTAAGTGAGTCATATAAAGGAGGTATCCATTTTGGTCATGACTCACACCCCCATTGAAGGTCGAGGTAAGATACTCTTAGACACTAAAAGTGGGAGCAAAATTACCTTGATCAATGTCCTCTATACTCCTCGTCTAAAAGCCAATATTTTGAGATTCGGGAGTCTTGATGAACAAGGGTACAAAATGAATTTGCAAAATAAAATTCTTACAATTCATGATCAAAGAGGCATACTTCTAAGAACAGTAAAAGAAATACAAGAAGACTTTACCTATTGAAACTCGACATTGTTGAAAATTGTCTTCATGCTAAGTCTGATCAGAATTGGCTTTGGCATAAGAGGTATGGCCATTTAAATTTCACTTCTCTTTGTGCTTTGTCTTTACATAATATGGCCAAAGGACTACCAAAGTTTGAAAGGGGAGAACTTTGTATTGACTGTATGAAGTCCAAGTAAACAAGAGCTTCATTTCGATCAATTTCATCATTTCAAGCTACAAGACCTCTTAAACTTACTTATGGAGATATTTGTGGGCCAATTGAACTAGAGACTCTCGGTGGAAGTAAGTACTTCCTACTACTTGTTGATGATTATACAAGATTAATGTAGATTTTTGTGGGGAAGAAGAAATCAGAAGCATTTGAAACTTTCCAGAAATTTAAATCTCTAACTAAAGGAGACAAAGAGGTGAAAATATCATGTCTATGAACAGATCAAGGGGGTGAGTTTAATTCCAAAGAGTTCTCTAAATGGTGTGATGAGTAAAGAATCCGACGAAAATTGACTACACTGTACGCACCTCAATAAATGGTGTAGAAGAAAGGAGAAATCGGCACTCTACTGGACATGGTAAGAGCCATGCTGAAATCAAAGCACTTACCTCGAGAATTTTAGGGAGAAGCAGCAAGCACAGTTGTCTATCTTCTAAACAAAGCTCCCACAAGAAGTCTTCATGGAAAGACTCCCTATGAAGCATGGTCTAGCAAAAAACCACAAGTTGACCATTTAAAGGTTTTTTGATCAATCTGCATGTTAAGGCACTTGGAGGAGCTCTTATGAAACTTGATGATAGAAGCACATCAATGATTTTTATTGGCTATGGAAAAGGTGTCAAGGGGTGATGTGCATTTGACCCTACATTAGTCAAGATTCACATCTCGAGAGATGTAATATTTGAAGAAGAAAAATACTGGAATTGAGAGAATTTCACAATGCTGAAAGAATCAAGTATATCACTATCATCTCTTATATTTGATCTCATAGTTGATTTCAACCTCAAGACTTTGAAAATGAAGTTGGAAATCATGGAGAGGAGATGTCTTCAAATCTTGCCTCACCTAAAGACACTCAACTTGCCTCATCTTTGGGTGAATCTTCACAAGATTAAAGATTCAAGAATCTATTTGAATTGTATGCAAAGAGCAGTCTAGTTGAAGATGCAGATGAAGTATGTAACTTAATGACTAAAGAAAAACCTGAATCAATTCAGGCTGCTCTCAATAAAAAAATTTAGAAGAGAGCTATGGAAGAAGAATTGAATCAAATAAACAAGAATCATACTTAGATTCTAGTCACACCACAAGTAGGATGCAAGCCTATTAGACTCAAGTGGGTCTTTAAAGTCAAGAAGAATCCAAAAGGATAAATTCTCAAGCACAAGGCATGACTAGTGGTGAAAGGCTATGTGCAAAGGTATGGATTTGATTTTACTGATGTGTTTGCACCTATAGCAAGACTTGAGACAATTCTGGTTCTTCTAGCTGTCTCAGCTCATTTTAGTGAGAAAATTCACCATATGGATGTAAAATCTACTTTTCTCAATGAAGAAATTAGTGAGGACATATATGTGAATCAACTGCCTAGATTTGAGGTCAACGAGAAGGAGAAGATGGCTTATACATTGACAAAGGTTCTCTATGGCTTGAAAGAAGCACCAAGAGCTTAGTACTCTAAATTAGATAAGAGTCTTATCTCATTGGGTCTAATTAGGAGCAGCTTTGAGCCTACAGTCTACTTTAAGAAGAAGGTGAATCCTCACCTATATGTGGGAGTATGTGTTGATATTTACTCATCACCAAGAACATTGAAAAGGAAATTGAAGATTTCAAGTTCAAAATGGCCAACATGTTCGAGATGTCTAATATGGGCCTGCTCTTGACATATTTGGGCATTGAAGTATGACAAACTGGTGAATTTATCTCTCACACATAAGTCCTTTGCTCTAAAGATTCTTAAGATATTTGACATAATAAATTGTAATTCGTCAATAACTCCTCTTGAAGTAAGACATTTTTAATTAGAAGGAAGGAAGAGACTCAGTAAATGCTACCACTTACAGAAGCTTAATGAGATCATTAAGGTACTTGACCCACACTAGATTGGACTTGTCACTTAGTGTTGGATTTCTCAAAAAAATTATAGAAAATCCATTAGTTGAACATCTCAAGTGTGCTAAATGTGTATTGAGGTACATTAATGTCACCTTGAATTTCAGTCTTAAGTACAAAAAGGAGAAGAATTTTGTACTTGTTGGCTTCTGTGTCAATAATTATGAAGGAGATATAGAGGAGAGAAAAAGCATGTCAGGCTTTTGTTCCTTTATTGGCAAAAGCCCTGTGACATGGGTGTCACAAAAGCATTGTCATCCTATCGTCCTGTGAAGCTGAGTATATCTCACTCACTTTGACAGCATGTCAAGGTGTTTGGCTGGCTGAATTTTTCAGAGAGCTAATTGGAATCTACCTCAAACTAGTTAAGATACAAGTTATTAATGTCTCTGCCATTGAGCTCATGAAGAATCCATCATTTCACAGTCAATCAAAGCACATCAAAATTCACTACCATTGTGTGTGCATTTGTGTTGAAGATGGTGAAGTTGAAGTCGCCTACATGTCAACAAAAAGACAAAGGGCAGACATTCTAACAAAATCTCTTGCAAAAGTTAAATTTGCAGGATTTTGGAAGCTGATTGAAGTGGAAGATCTGGTGGAATAGCAGCAAGCTTAAGGAGGTGAATAATGGAGTTAATCTCACTGCTGTCATCATCGCAATCTATGAAGGAGGAAGGCATTCAACGAGAGTTTTGCTTTATCTTACATTTTTCCTTATATCTATTTCTTTTGAATGTTTCAATCTCAGCCATTATAACTTCATAACGGACGGCTGAGATTGTGCTAAGATAATAGCACTTGCAGTAACTGCCATAATGGTGTTACTACATGAGGTGTTTGACTTGGTCCTATAAGAGAACCAGTTCGATGACTGATTGGCTATGCCAATTGATTTCTCCAATTTCCAATTTAATAGATTTGGACATTTTTGTTTCTCCATTCTTCTTGGGTTCTTGAGTTGTTATGAAGAGTTGTAAGATTATATTCTTCAAATGGCTACCAAATCCAGAAACGATGTTGCCAAACCTTTCAATACTGCCTATTGATTTTCTGCCTTCTTTAGATGTTTTAGATTCAAAAATAGTGATTCTTTATCTATGATCAATGAAGAACTTACTAAGCACTGATGATCTTTCTAGTCTTGTGCAGGATTTGATCTACACCGAGGATCCTTGCAGTCTCCAAGTCTGATATCTCGGGGATCATTCCTTTGTCAAGGAGAACATTCCAGGCCTTTAGGTCCCTATCTATGATTCTTGATCCCGAGTCATGATGAAATCGACGAGCAATGCCCAGCACAATGTCAAGGCGTGTTCTCCATCCGAGACCAGCACCCTTGTGCTCATCTAAGACATTTGATTGTAACTTGGTGAAACGACCAGCACACGTGCTCATCTAAGGCATTTGATTGTAACTTGGTGAAACGACATAGAAATATCAATTTTCTGAGATAAATATGATGAAGTCAAAAATATGATATTGGAGCAATCATTGTGCCGGCCATTTAAATCAATTCTGTAGTTTCTAAAAGCACAACAATTAAAAATTTGCTTCAAATGGTGACAATTACCAAATATGAAGGTATCCAAGCTCTTGTTCTTCATGAACTCGTAGATAAATGTCCTCTCTTCTACGATGCAGCAGCCCAAGAGCCGGACAAGATTCATCCGTCTGAGTTTTGCTATGGACTTGACCTCGCTGGTGAACTCTGTCAGCCCCTCGACAGACAGGCTTATGAGTCTCTTCATGGCAATCTCTCGTCCATCGGACAGGACTCCCTGTGATATTGTCATCTATTAAACTGTTTTCTTTCTGTATTTCGCATATAAAATATCCCGTGTCCTAGTAGGAAAAGTGAGCGCCAAGGGGTCTTTTCCCTTAAGTCAACAACAAAGAATACTTGTGGACGACACCGAAACCACTTTCTCTGTTTTTATTATCCAGAAGGAAGTTTGACGTAGCTGATACAATGGTTTGCAAATCAAACACCAACAGATCCCCGTCGTCTCTGGTAATTATTACATAATTGCCGACTTTTCTGTGACAGAAGGCACATTTATATAATTAACGAGTATTAAATGAAACATAAAATATTTCTGGGTTATCTTCTATATGCAATAAAAAGAACACTGAATGTATTACCTTCTATATCTGCAGTTATCATCGTCGTCCTCTTCCACGTCCATGTGTAGCAACAAAACAATACTATCAGGACTCCAGAAACTATAAATGTTATGATAATAATTAATTCCGACTTCAGAACTATTGTCATGATAATAAATGTTGTTCTTCCGAGAAATCTGATTCTCTTTGTATGCTACATATACACCGAGGAACCACTGTTCAGATGTTCTCGATAGCTTATATTACATATAAAAGGTGAGTAGATTGAACACCAGAAAAAAGATTTGATATAGACTGTACCGAGAGAAGATGCCGGCACCCTTATGTATAAGTCATGCACTTCTGTTTCCAATGCCTTGGTGTCCAGAAGATCGCCAGACCAACCGATGCTTCCTCCCCTGCCGTCTGTAATATTTGCCCACGCGAAGGGAGTTCAGGAGCAGCCCCCGGCACACTGGTCCCGGCAATCAACGAGGATCATGTTCATGATCATTTAGGAATTAATCAAGTGTGGCAGTTTTAACTTTGGCATCGAAAGGAACCCATCCCCCCCCGTGCAGTCCGAGTAGTCAGGCGGATGCAACCACTAGTGATGTTCTGCTGGTTCCACTCAAGGAGATCCCTTGGGGCATAACCTTCCAGGCCACTACAGATGGGAGAGTTGCTCATACTGCAAAGGCCGAAGGCTCCATGGTTGGCGATCCAATCGCATTCGTCGGCCGGCCCGTGGGCAAATGTTTTCTATGTCTGACTTCCCTTGTCAATGATCAACCTCTGCGCCATTCCTCTGTGACTCGGGGTTAAGATGGATAAGGTTGAGGTGCTGTTCATCTCGAAACTGTGGTTCGCTTGGACTTCCCTGGCTTCGATGATGAAGTGCATAACCGGCTTAGGTTGCATGTAGAGGATACCGACGATGCAATCACGAAGCTAAACTTCAACGTACACCCATCCAGCATTACGACGGGAGGTTACACGGTTAAGTCCATCTCAATCGTGTGGTTTTCCGGCGAAGGGTCGTCGACCCTCTTCCGCGAGGTGAGGTAGCTACTGACCCCGGTGGAGTTATCAAGCGGCCTCTCCCTGTTAGCGACCCAAACAAACATCTAAGGTTGGGGTTTCTTTAATCAGACGCCCAGATACATCTTTTTGGAGCTCCCAGAAGCCCATCTCGAAAGTCTGCCCGAGTTGACAGACTTCACCTGATGATATCCGCGGATCTGACGCTGAGATATGAGAGACAGGATAGAAAGAAGAAACCGAAATATCTCGTGGGCTCTTGAACGTTCTTCCGACGTTGTGAAAAGTAACTGGCTCACCAAGAACGATTTCGAAGTTTTCATCGAAAACGGCGACAGGACAACACGTCCATTCATGGACTGTCAACATTTATGCTGTGTAGATTGATTTTACGTGAAGGACACGCGGTCGTTGCTCCCAAGTGTGCCACAGTTTTTTTAAATAATTGATACTCCAAATGTGAGTAGTTTATAAAGGCTTGCCTCATCTTGGGTCCCAAAGTGTGGTCCTATTTCTTTAAAATACTAGCTTCATCGCTGTCTTGTTTCCATGTTTGACTTTTGTTACCTATTTAATAGATTGCCAAACTCTACATAATTTTATATTTGACACCTGGAATATTGTTCATAAATTCTTTGTTTAAGTCTAGTAATCAATTCGTAAATTTAACTCATTTTCCTACAACAGTTGACATTGAAACATGGATGACTGTCTCATGAAAAAAGTGAACGTTTGACCTTTTAAAAAATATGTATTTTCTGCTAAATATACAATCGGATAGCTTCATCTATATAGTTATTTCATTCTAGTGGTCTAAGGGTAAGTAAAAAAATGATAAAAATTATAATTTTCGCAAAAACCAATATAATACAATCAGTCTTATCATTCGTTTACAAGACTCATATAAATACATTTTTTATGATATAAATAGATTAAGAGTGATTCCAAGAGGATGAGTGATGATGCTGGAGGCTTATTAGACTAGGAGGGAAACTAAGGTGATATGAATCCACAAATCTGATGAGGAATGTAGGTCATTGAACTGCAATACAAGCCTTAGCCAGATATCAACCATTGATTCTAGGGCCTTCTTTGAATACACTAGTTCAAACTTTCAAAGAAAAATAAGCAATCGTCACAAGTGGTGATGTGACGTTCATGACTCTAATTAGCCATCCAAGCTCATTGCTTGTAAAGGCCAATAAAACATACAAAATAGTTGAAGTCATGTACAAAGGTACATTTCTAATGAGTAAAGAGTGAGTATGCTGACTTTAATTGTTTTCAATACAGAAAAATTAGTCCATCAATGATATATTTACTAGATTGGTTCAGATGATGAGTGGGCTGCTAAAAAGTTTGAAAAAATTATAAATCAACGATAAATTTATTATGAAAACGTTTACGCCTGTTTAGGGTTTTTTGGAAACTATAAATAGTTCGGATGCATATCTATCCTAAAATATAACCAAAGAAGAATGGTCAAGCAGTGACTTCTGTATATTTTGTGCATTTATAGCTCTAAGATCCCTTTGATATGGTACACGTTTGAGGCTCCACGACTCCAGAAGTTCAATCTTTTAAGGTTAGTCTCAGAAGCTCATAGAGCTCTCAGCTGGATCAATGTTTTTCGTAACTTCCATAAATTCAATATATGTTTTCAGGTTTACCTATCTTTCAATTCATTGCATTGCTCATTGCTGATTGACCAACATTTCAGAGTTTAGCGTCCACCGTTGGAAGCTAATACAAAATAGGTACATTATTTGTAAAATTATCACATTTCTTATTTGTTGAATGTTTAGTAATTAGTACTAAATGTTTATATCGATATTGTAATTCTGAAGTAAGACAAGTTTTACTTCCTGATCACGCAATGTTTCCATAAATTAGCAAAGTTGCAACTTACAGGCAAAGCAAACACAACAAATCTTACTACAGGTCAAGTGTTGTGTTGAAGATAAAAGTTGGCTCTCAAAGTTGATCACCATTGTTTTCAAGTCCTTTACATTTATGAGCAATCTTTCCATTGAAGAGGACTTTTTGAGATGCATATGGTACACATTACTTCTCGAGAATACAGCTGTTTTTATGTAACAATACAAATGAGAAGATGGAGCAGTGTAGGTCCAACATTAGACTGCACCACTACAAACTTAGGGTGTCACGTTTTGCTGTTTTATTACAAAAACCCGCTATTTCTGTGCTTAACAGATATACCTAAACATTTCACCTTTCTTTAAGTCTTGAACACATTTCATACTCTTACACATAGCCCGGCAACGTCCCAACTTCAAAGCAAAAAGTTTCAAACGTCGGGAAAAAAACCAGTCTTTACTAGGATTTATGAGTCTCATCTTTTTAGGAAACCCCCATAAACTTTGTACCGAAAACTTTATCGCCATGGACAATTTTGTCATATTCCGAATTTTCGCATAATGTCAAGCACACTACAACAAGAAACTTGTTCAGAATGGTAATCCGCAACGTATCCATCCTCCGGAAATATCAATGCATGTTCACGCAAATCATCTAAAACCAATGCAATTGACATCACATCTCGATTAATCTACGTCCCCTCTCATACTGCGTGTTACCCCATTTCCGCCCTCGTCTTGGAGCTCAACTGATGAAGCACTATCGGAATGCTTCCAGCTACCGAATATGACGAAGCCAGGCCTCTTAGGTTGAGGTAGGGGAAATGTTGCACTTAAGAGCATCATGGTCACGGTGTCCATTGAGGGTCTGTCCACCGCCTGTTCTTGCACGCACAATAAACCAACCTGGATGCATCTCAATAATTCAGAAATTGGACGAAGATCTGTTGGTGCATCATCAAGGAGTTCTGCGCAGTTGCCCTCCTCCCATAGCCTCCAAGCCTGAATAAAAAATTCGATGTAAGAATACCGTTGTTCGTTAGATCAAAACATCTACCGTTGCTTGAGTGCAAAGCATGTTTGTCAGCCTAGACGTTGTCTAGCCCAACCTAAATGCCGGCCTGTCGAGCAAGCTCAAGCCTAACCATTCATGACACACAAATACAAGCAAGAATTCCGAAAATTATCTTCGATTCGAAATCCTACAAATCTAAAAGATTGACCAGGTAGGCCGTCTGTTTTTATCTATTCATGGAAGACAAACAGCCATATCGGAGAGAGAAGGGATGGCGTCCGAGAGGCATATGTAGATATCATGTGGGCAAACTTTTGTTTGGCAATCGTGCGACAGCCAAACTTGAAAGATGGACACAATTCCGGGCTTCACACCTTCGGAAAGAAGTTCGCCAGTTGACAAACAAATTTATTGAGCCTCCTGATAATCTCGTTACAAATTTATACAGATTAAGTGCAATAAAAATAATTCATAGTTGCACTTGTTCAGGTTTACCTTTGACAGAAGACTTTCCTCGGACTTACTAAAGTATAGGCCTCGATTCCGGACTCCGCTGATTATCTCCAGGAGGAGAACCCCAAAGCTGAATACATCGGTCTTCGTAGAGATGACACCGTCGATTGCATATTCCGGGGGTATGTATCCACTGTATGACAGCCATGGAAGCCATAAAAAAAGACGATAAGACATTCAATAAAAACGAGTGATTTCTTTGCCCAAATTTTATTTACCATAATCCTATGATTTGCTTGCTTCGTTTCGTAACGAACTTACTATGTGCCAACGATTTTTCTGCTCCTCTCTAACATCTGATCTCCATCAAAAATCCTTGCAGTACCGAAGTCTGATATTTTGGGGATCATTGCCACGTCAAGGAGAACGTTACAAGCCTTCACGTCCCGATGTATGATTCTCGACCCGGAATCATCATGAAGATAGTGTAGTCCGCAAGCAATGCCGTGCACGATGTTAAGCCTTGTTCTCCATCCCAGAATACCGCGCTTGGTTTCATCTGGATGGATGTTCGTCCAAGTCTTACAATTATTACTTCTCGTATGAATATTACTAAAAACATAATATGATAAAAAAAGGTAACCGTGAGCTGGCGATTGGAGAAAATCGTCTCTACCCTTTTAGAGTGCCAAAATGTAAAATGAGACGTAATTACCAAATATGAAGGCATCCAAACTCTTGTTCTTCATATACTCATAGATAAGCATCTTCTCTTCGCCGGCAATGCAGCATCCCAGGAGCCGGACAAGATTCCTGTGTCTGAGTTTCGCTAGGGACTTGACTTCGTTCGTCAACTCCCTCTGCCCTTCCAGAGAAGAAATTTTGAGCCTCTTAACTGCAATCTCTTGCCCATCAGGCATAATTCCCTGTAATGTCTTAATTCATTAGGTTGCCCAGAATTCAACCCATAAAAATGCTCCATCTGTCTGCATTACCTGGAAAACTGAGAAAAGTCTACAAGGGAAGCCATTTGCCATCAGTTAGGAGAGAAAGGTACCTTATATACAACACCGAAGGCACCTTCTCCTACTTTATTGTCGTCGGAAAAGTTAAACGTCGCCGATACCACAATTTCGAAGGAAAACACCGGCAGCTCCTCGTTTCTCCCAGTCGTTTCATGGATGCGGGTATTCTCTGTAAGACATGGCCCAATTTATACGATTGTCTAGTTAAAGAATTTGATATTGAAAAGGTAATAAGGAGGCTTGCAACAAGGAAGGTATACTCCCGCTAAATTATTACCTTTTGTATCCAGGCTTCTCTTTATCTTTATCTTCAGCATCCAAACGGAGAACAAGAAAAACAACACTGCCACCAATGCCGGAAGTAGAGTCGCTGTGAGAACAATTGATTCCACCTTTGGCTTCTTATTTTCCATGCTCACTTCATTCACTTCGTACGCCGTACATGGATAAAAACCGAAAAACTCTTGAGATCATATAAACTCCTTATATCGTACTCCAATCATCATTATTTTATAATCCTAGCAAGACATTACTGTTCTTGATAAGATGGAGGGCGTTTACCAAGAGAAGAGGCCGGAACTCGTATGTATAGATCTTGTACATTCATTTCCAATATCCTCATATCCAAAAGATCGCCGAACCAAGTAATGCATCCCCCCATGCCGTCGGTGACATTGGCGATTGCGTAGGCGGTGCAGGAGCAGTCGCTGGTGCACTTGTTCCGACACTCGCTGAGGCTGATGTCGATGTCCACTGTGGAATTGATTAAGTGAGGTAGCTTCAATAGCGGCATCAGAAGAAATCCATCCCCTCCGCTGCAGTCTGGGCGCGTCCGCCGGACGCAGCCGCTGCTGAAGTTCTGTTGATCCCACTCGTCGCCATTCCTGGGCGCATAACCTTCCAGACAACCACAGACGGGGAAGTTACTCATGTTGCATATGCTAAACGCTCCACAGTTGGCGAACCTGTCGCATTCGTCGGCTGGCAGGTAGGTAAAGGTTTCCCATACATTAGTTCCCTCGTCGTACAGCAACCTCTGCCCCACCCCGTTGTAACTTAAAGTCATGATCGATATGGTGGGAATCTTCATCTGAATTATGTAGTCCGCCTGGTCTTCCGTGATTCTAACGACGCACTGGAGAACCGACTCGGGTTGCATAAACGGAACACCCACGAAGCGATAACCGTTGAAGTGCCCTGTGCTGAACTTAATAGCCTGGTGGTGCTTGAGAAGAACACGAGGTAGCGTGCTGAAGTCCATCTCCACCGTGTAGTTCCCTGGTGAAGGATCGTCTGGGCTCTTCCACGAGGTTAGATGCCTTCTGGCTCCGGTTCTCCGGTTGGCGCTCATCTTCATCCCAGGGAGCATAACGTGAGAGGGTTCATCTATGCTTTGCCAGAGAAGTCCGGCGGGTAGGTCCTTTTCGCCATCTCTAACTTCGAGGTTGCCGGAATCAAGAAGCTTTGCAAAAACTCTAACACCCGTATTCAAGAAACCCTTCGTTGACCAGACCACCTTGCCCGCTTCTTTGTCGAGGAGGAGGAGCCTCCCCTGTTCGTCCATCCGTAAGACCCCGGTAGAGTTTTCGAGCGGGTTTTCCCTGTTGGCCACCCAAACAACCACCTCAGGCTGGGCCTTCTTGAACCAGATGCCCAGGTACCTCATCTTGGAACTCCCGGGGGAGAAGAAGCCCATCTCGTAGGTCTTCCGAGCGGAGAGTACAGTCTCACCATCCCGCATGGACTGGCTCCGTGTTATGACCTCTACCGACTTCGAGGCAGAGAAATACGAGACTAACAACAGCCCAAAAAGGGGAACCATCTCGTCGACCCTGGAAAGCTCCTCTCACCTCCCAAACTCGGTAGTTGCAGAGGTCTCTGCAAGAAATATTTGAAAGTTATACCCGTGGAGGACAATGACTAGACAACAACTCTTTGAGTCGCTTTCATCACTGGACATGGACACGGTATCGATTGAGTTTCTGAATGGAGGAGCAAATGAAATGATTCAACGCGAGAGATCTTATCTCACGAATTTTAGATAAGGGTTTACGTAGGCTAGATATTGTTTATGTTACAAAAAAAAAAAGAAGAGAAGTCACACATCGATGCCGTGATCTGTCAATATTTTGTGGCTGGGGTCATCTTGCGTGAAGGGCACGTAATCTTAAACATAATTGCGCGCCACTTTAAATATTTTACTAACACAATTTAAAAAGGATGGTCGCGTCCAAAAAACTAATGGGGCTATTTTTACAAAAGGAACAGCTCGGAAAAAACTAAAAGCCCGGCATCCGGCATTATCCACTGGAATACATTGTTTTATTTCTCCGTTTATTTTTGATATCCATTTATCAAACTGTTAAATTCCACATTATTTATGTTATTTTCAAAGGAATACCGCTTCAAGTAAGTTTATTGGAATATAAGTTTCACTGTCTTAAAAGGGTATTTTTCATTTTTCAGGTTTCAACATAAGTCTTAAATGTTAGGGTGTATATCATAACAACGGAAATGAACCATATAACACTTTTTCTGTATTTTTAAAAAGTATAAATTAATTTCAAAAACTAGTCTAATTACCAGGCTTTTCACCAAAAAAGTTATTCTTTTTACACAATGTTTTATATGTTATTTACTTCCATTTCATCACTTAAAATCATTCAAATAAATGTGAATTTAACTTCAGTAGTATTTAAAATACTGAATCGCTTTTATAATTTTTCATTATGTTTTTTATTAATTTCAGTATGTTCTCAAGAAAACACAAAATATTAATGAGCTGCCACATTTTTTCATCTCACTCGTCATCTACAAAAGTATACATCAACATCCATTACCTTAGCTGGCCTAATACTATTGTTTTTATTACTTTGATGCCTTGATTTTTTTCATTTAAACCAAATAAATTGTCATCTTACTAATAATATAAAGGTCAATAGGTACGGGTAAGGAAAAGAAATAGGCCAATTGAAGATAATGCTGCAGTATTAAAGGAACACTAATGGCTAAAAATGGTTACAAATGGTATTAAAAATATATCTTCTATACCTTGAAACATGAGGTATCAACATTTTTGTTAATCTCAATTCTGATGAGAAGATAATTCAAGTCATCATCATATTTTAAATTTCAGAAAATATATATCAAATATTAAATAAATTCATTGGTTGTTGTTCATCTAAATATTTTTGGTAATGACAGATAATCATGGAAAGAAAGAAAAAGGAAAAAAAACAGTAATATGTTATTCCCCTGGGCAATTTTTAGTTGAAGATAAAAACTATTATATCTAGTGTATTTTTTTTAACAAGAAAAATACATATAAAAAGAAACTCAAAACCAGAACAAAGAAATGAGAAGAGACAAAAGTCTATAGACCCTGTGTGTTGTCTACCTAAAGCAAAAATTGAGAACTATGTTGACTCCACTTAATGGTATGTTAGAAATAGATGAGACAAAAAAATGTAAACCCATGCACCAACTAAGCTAAAGTTTAAAAAAACCTAAATAAAGAGAAAAGTAATTTTTAATCTAAGATATCTAACAACTCATGTTATAAGATCTAACACATGTCAAAAGATCCATCACATGAATAATGTATCATCCCATGTATGTAGAGAAAAATGAAATAAGAAGAAAAGTCAAAACATCTCGCACTAAAATGTATGTAGAGCAACCTTGTCAAAACCTTGTCATGTATTTGACATCAAATGATAAAATTATTTCCTGTTGACAAAAACACAAGTTTTTATGCATTGTAGAGTGGTAATTGCAAGAGGCATTAAAAAAACCCAATAGCAGAAACACCTAAGTTAGATTGTGGGCCTCTCATTATGTTATAAAGGAGGGGAATGGGGTAGGGAAAGATAGTATTTGTCTCTTAAGTTCAAAGAGGTTCAGGGTACATCGAAGATCATGTAGAGGTTAGGGTTTTATTGAAACCCTACCCCTCTTCCTATTCTCTATCTTCATCATCTCTCTCTCCCTCTCTCTTAGGCCAAGTGTTGCCCCCATAGTGGGGTTGGTAGCACTATTTTAATAAGATATTGTTGTGGTAAAAGCTTGATCCTTGGTTGAAGGGTATTGTTAAACTAGTGTGGTTAGGCGACTATGTTCTCTTCAGGTGTTAAGAGCAGCTCGTGAGACAACAGAAAAAATGAGCTAAATGCTGATGACATAAAAATTCATATCTATGATTTTATTTTACCTCATACGACCTTGATATTGAGTTTTGGAGCCTTTTAATTTTTATTAGTAAAACACATAGAAGGATAATGCAGTAGTTTTATGCTCTAAAATATACATTTATAATCATTAAAAGTTGCATGTGATTTTTGGACATTGTAATATTGAGTGTCCTTTTGTATTCAGTCAAGAACAATAATCAAAGCAAGAAAAACACCTTACAAGGGTATAATAATAGTTTGCATGGATGAGGCTATATTCTAACTCTTAAAAAAAACCTTATAAGTTGTATCACTTTGAAGAATTTACACTCCAATTCAATCATTTAAGCCATTGCTAGATAGTTACGTATGGTCATCCCAATGGGCTTTGGGCCACTCAATTTCCTCTTGTGAAGCTCTATTCATCCTAGTGACCTAACAAATAGCATATAAAACTATTTGTCCTTTGCAATGATTTTGATAAATCTATGGGAGATATAAGGTGTAGTACTCAATATAAAATCCCCCAAATTGCATTTTGTTGTTACAAAAACAATCCACTTACTAAAAGTAAGGCATACTCCTCTATAATGGTGAAATAAGGCATGCTCCTTAGTAATGGTTCAGTCTTCCTTGACCTATGTCCACTTACTAAAAGTTCCTACCCTTTGTTTCTCTATATTAGAATTGTAACATAAATCTATGACATCAATAAATCTTCTTATA